TTCATTTTCATTTCAGAAATTTGAAAAAAAGAATCCAAAATATTTGAAAATAACCAAATATATATTTTGGAATGTCACAATTCAAGCTAATGTCTTCAAGCATTATTCTTCAATGTTGGTGGTTCTGATGAAGTTTGAAGAATTATTTTCAACCAATAAATGTTAGCCATCAACTTTTGTATACCGAACAATTGGCATGGCAAGTTTCTGGATTCTTATAACATCCTTCCTCTTTGTCTAATACATGTAAGAAATAAATAAGTGCGTTGTCCAAAGTACCTCATAGGTGAGGTTCCTTATCACCAACTGATATTGAATAATAAGAGAGCTTAGTTGAAATTTATTTAAATAAAAAAAATTAAAGCAGTGAAAGAAAGTCTAGTGCATTACTATAGAATTTGGCAGCATTTTGGAACACACCCTGAAGAAGGCAGGAGGACATACAGCCGAAATGGTAGAGGCAAAAAAAGGCAACAAAGATGAAGAAATTAATTCAAAGAAAATCACAAAAACTTTTTCTTCTCGATTTTTTTTTTTTTTTTGTAAAATCTTGAATGGTTGATTTTATAACTTGTCAGTATATGGTGGTTTATGTAACAATTATACATCTTTACCAAACTTTACATTGCCTGTTGTCAGATATATATATATATATATATATATATATATGTGTGTGTGTGTGTTTTCAAGATACTGTGAAATGTTAATCCCTGGCATTTGTACTATAAATTAGCTTTTAATTCTATTTTCAAATTATAATAGACTGATAGTTGTGTAAAGTACAATCAGTTTTGTGATATATTTTTATTATGTGTTGATGGGTGTTGTTTAACTTGGTTTATACTGTATAGTACCTGATCAAAGCTAAAATGGTGGTTCCCCATGAGAACTCATTGTCAATGTCTTTATAGTTTTACATTTAATTAAATTGATAAAAAAGGGACATGTTGAAACAAGAGGAAAAATCAGATAACAAAAAATAGCATTACCGTAAAGTAGTAATATCACAATCTAACATGATTGACAAAAAACTAAAAAACTAAACTAGTTCATTGGTCCTCTCTCATCAGAGCTCAATCCAGGACAAAAATATGCACAGCAAGTAAAATGAAGACCAAAGAGTAAATGTTATGTAATTATATAACACTTACAAGCTAATTACATTTAAGTCCACCAATCACTCCAACTTACAGAGAAATGGCTGGTAGGACTTAATATAAACAAATTCCAACACCTTCAAACGAAATTCAGAATTAGCCTTTTTCAGTACTGAGTATATTTTGGGGATAAGATCAGGCACTTTTCTGGGTGTTTTTAGCAATTATTCAGCTATTGCTGAATCAGTTATATTCACACACACACACACACCTATATAAGTTGTCAACCTTGTCCTTGCAGATATGCCTACAGTGAAATCATGCTGAAATCACCAGTTCTTGTTTTGATCACTGAAGTTAAGCAACATTGAGCCTGGTCAGGACATAAATTGGGGACATCTCAAGAATACCAGGTTTTGGCTTTAACTTTTTCCACAAAAGGTTGATAAGCCATAAAATATTGGAATCAATTCCTTGCAAATATTGTCTGTCACATGTTGGTTTGATCCGGTTCTAACCTTTGGTGACATCCCAAAATAGTCCAGCACAGCCAGGCAACAATGCTAGCAGTGAAAATTTTAATAACACTGTCAAATGTGACATCATAAATTTAGAGGAACATTTATAATCATGAAAGTGATTCTCCATTTTCTGAACAATTTAGATTCTAGATGTTTCTAGCAAGCAAATAAGTTCTGAAACACAATCCGGTTGCCTATCAATATTTAAATAAACAATGAAGTCATGCATATAAAGCGGTGGATTAATTTCTTAAGTATTAAAATGAATTTGATTTATTTTCTGTATATTTCTTTAGACAGGAAAACAACCACTTCAAAATGAAATTTCCCTCCATGCGATTCAAATTAGATATTCAAACTCTAGCTTAAGAAAAATATCCAAGATCTCAAGAATAATCAATCTTGTGTATATTGGCTGGTACATGCTGGGTGTTCCTTGCTTGGCAACCTTTCCTGTTAATAGAATACCGTTTTTTGTAAAATGGGCCAGCACAGCCAACATTGATGATATAAGTATGCAAATGGCTGACATCTTAATAAGCCTGCTTCTATAATAAATACCCTGGAGAGGGTTTGGCTCTGTCAAAAATTTCTTTCCCAAGACACACCACAGCTGCAGTAATACAGCCCTTGTAACCCACAATTAGGTCATACATTTGTGATATAAGACATAAGCCTATTTAGTCTTAGTTGACTGAAAAGAGCTCTCATTTTGATGCTTTGTCATTCGGTGTGTGGGGGGGAATCTGATTTCAAGCCAAGATGGTCATTTTCTCTTCTGAGATTTCATAAAATCTGTGATAACCACATTCATAAATAAAATTTGACATCTCAATATTTAAAATGGTTGGCTATTGGACTTTTGTTGATCAATAGAACAGAAAGAGTTCTTGTGAAAAATGTCTTCACTGACTGCCAATAGCAAAGTAAACATGAATCTTTTCCAATGTACACTTTGTCCTGAAATTTTCAACAATTCTTATCTCTACATAGAACACCTTAAACAACACTCAAATCCGACCAAAGATAACCCACCCAACAATGGCTTCACCCTGAAGCCAGCAACTGTTGATAACCCCTTTGAGTGCCCATACTGCAAAAAACCCTTTTCTTATTTCAGTAAGCTCAATGAGCACATCCGTTCGCATACAGGCGAGAAGCCATTTAAATGCATCATCTGTGGCAAGACATTTTCACAGTCAGGCTCTCTCAATAAACACAGACGGACTCATTGTCGGCAGAAACGATTTCAGTGTCAGTTTTGTCCAGAAAGGTTCATACGCTATGATAGCCTTACTAGGCATTTAAAGACTCACATGGAAAAGAAGCTCTTTGAGTGTCAGAAGTGTTTGACACTGTTTCCAAACTCTGAGAAACTCCAGGCACACCTAAAGAGCCACAAAAAAACAGAACTGTTTCGGTGCCACTATTGCAAAGTGACATTTTTACATTCTGATTCCTTGACCAAACATCTCAAAGTTCATACTGATAAAGGAAATCTTGTTTGTCAGTTTTGTGGTAAAGATTTCTTTTACCCAAGTAAATTTAATGAACACTTACGAATTCACACTGGAGAAAAACCTTACCAATGCATTCATTGTGGAAAGAAATTCTCCCAGTCAGGTTCCCTGACCAAACATATTCGAACTCATTTTGCCAGTGCTAAAACATTTCTGACTGGATATCTTCGACCTCAAAATTATTTGCATATCGAGCCACTTGTATCTCCTCCAGAACAACAACAACAACAAACTTTGTCCTCTCAGGCAAGAGGCTGTGAACCACTTTTGCATACAGGCTTATATCAAGAACTTAAATTACCATTGAACTTTGAAAATAAAACACCACCTGCATTTAATGCTGCTCAGGCTTTCAACACATTTAATGTTGGTCAACAATTGCAGGCGTTGGGCCTGACACAATTGTTTCATTGCAAATACTGTCCCGCGTCTTTCCCCCATGTAGTTACACTTGCTCGGCATTTGAAACTTCATACACAAGCCAAGGTTTACCGGTGCCCCTACTGCCAGAAGATCTTTCTCTATCTCAGCAAACTGAATGAGCATGTACGTTCGCACACAGGTGAGAAACCTTTTACGTGCGTGCACTGTTACAAGTCCTTTTCGCAGTCAGGGTCTTTGACTAAGCATCTTCGAATACACAAAAATAGAAAACTGTTGCTTAACTTTCCCTCGGCTAATTCTGGAATGACCATGAACACAGAAAACAGTTTTAATGTTGGTGCAAGAAGAAAGGTTTCCATTTTTAATGACAGTTCTGCAATAGAAAGTACAAGTAATGAAATCAAAACTAATATATCTAATGATAATGTCGATGTTTCGGAGTTTGGTCTTACTGCTGACAATGACATGATTAATATTAACAATATGACTAATATACTAAACAATGATGTTATTAATAAAAATATTAATAATAATGATTCTAGTATAGATGATATTAAAGTTTTACAAATGAATATTGAAAATGATAAAGCCATTGACACGAAACATGATGTAATGGCAAGTGAAATGGGGTTGGTTAAGAAAATAAAAACGGAGAACTGTGTTGATGGAGATGTCTTCCAAAAAGAGATGAAAGAAGCTGTCAAAAGTGAAGAAAATGCTAAAGAAAAGCTAACATTTTCAGAACTGGATGCCAACCATGTCTCGCAGACCATAAGCTCAAATGGCGAGATAGCAAACATGTTAAACATCAAGAAGGAATTAAGATCACAGGTTACAAACTTGAATCAACTGTACAGTATCTATTGCATGGCTGACATCTCAAGAATATGTCTGATGTAAGATTGCACCTTTTGTTGATCAAACCAGAGAGAATCCCATTGGAATATGAATTCTTGTAAAATCACAGTTTCTCAACATTAGAAACTGAATGAACACCTAAATCACACACATCTCAAAAATAGCATTTCATTGCACCTATTGTAATAAGTCGTGTTGATCAAAAAGGGTTACGGCTATATCCCATCCGAATACACAACGTAGTAAAACCACACAAGAATTAGCAGGAATGAAGATGAACATTACTAAATATATGTAAATTATATAAAGATAGATTCAAATTTAGTTAAAAGTGACAGATTAAAAGGAAGGTGTTACTTCAAAAAATATTGTCAAAACAAATTCTTGATAGAATCTGTTATCACAGGTAGGATGTATTAAAGTTTTTACGTCAAAATTTTAATGATTACATGCTATATGAAAATTTTCATACACTTGCAGGCTTGTGGCCATTTTACATTGAAAAACTGGTTCTTCTATGATCACCAAAGTTAAGCAACATTAAGCCTGATCACTCCTTATATGGGTCACTGCTTGGGAATATCAGGCGCTGTAAGCTTGGGTGTGCGTGTAGTATGGTTTACAGCCATATCAAATTGAAACACCAGTTCTTGTATGATCACTGAAGTTAAGCAACATTGAGCCTGGTCAGTACCTAGATGGGTGACCGCTTGGGAATACCAGCTTGCATATTCGAGTAGTATGGCTTATGGCCACAACACCAGTTCTTGTACGATCACTGAAGTTAAGCAACATCAAGCTTGGCCTGTACCTAGAGGGGTGACTGCTTGGGAATAACAGGTGCTGCCAG